TTATCTTGCATACGACATTTTCAATATTGGAATTTTTTTAATTGAAGGGCTTATTGCAGTAACTCGATATGCCACAAAAATAAAATTTTGAGTAAATCGACATTAAAGTTTAAAAAATTCTCAAAAAAATGTTTTTTTTTTTTTTTAATTTGTACTTTTAACACGCCTAATAATCATATAAGGTCGATATCTATCGTATGCCAATAGATGGATATCATAAATAAAGTGGAAACCACTATTTTAGCAAAAAATTGTGGCTTATCAAGTTATTGCCTAACAATATTTGAAAATTTTTTATTTTCAAAAAACAAGTTCTAGTACATTTTCAAAGTGGCTTATCATGTTCTTGCTACAAAAAAATTTATAAATTTTATTTTCAATATGAAAAAATTTTTTTGATGTTTTGCAATCGAAAATTTTCCAATCAGCAAGAACTTGGTAAGCAACATAATTATATATGAAATTATTTTTATGCAGTAACAAGGTAAGCCACTTTAATTTCAAAAAATTATATCTCCCGAGATTTTGAGCAAAAAATTTTTCTCTTCGTATAATGAGACTTGTCTTAACTTGTTCTATCACAGTAACATAAAAAAAATATCAATTCCGCTTTTATCTCCATCATTATAAAGGACTTTCTTAAAAAGTGTAAAAAATATATGTGTCATATCGAGTTTATGAAATAAAATTTTTTTTCAAATTATTTAAATGGAAAAAGAGGCATGACCCTTATATCGCAAATTTACCATAATACGCTAAAAATCTCTTTAGGGACATTAGATATGGTTCCTAGCAACTCAAAAAGCACATAAAATCGAATTGTGATGGTTGGTGGCATATCGAGTTACTGCAATAAGCCCTTCAATTACATATCGATGGACAATATTTATTATTCTATAGTAAATATGTATTCATATATATCACGTCTGCGATATAAATTTCAAAATATATCTTCAAAATATATTTTTCTATATGCAAACCCTTTTTTATCTCCAATATATGTACTTTCAGTGGCAATATAAGTCTTCTTAGCAATTCGGACATACCGAACAAGAATTGGTGGAGATTCAGTTCAAAGTAACGATTTTTATAGACTTTAATGTAACTTATTAGTGTAATGTTCACAATTTATTTGCTTACATATATGCTTAGGAACTCAATGAAGGCCTTCAAAAGTGCCATTTTAACTTATATCCACCTGATATACAAAATTATACATGAAATTCTTTTTATATATGGACTTTCATATTGAAAGATTTAGGCATGGAGGCACGGACTAGGTATGTCTTTGGGATAAAACGATGCAAAATTTCAGTTTAGGCCATATATATTGCCATATATTTATACCAAATTTCAAGAAATGTTGCTCACATTTTATATGTTTAACCTCTTTGGCCATATTGCCTTAACATTAATAGAATATTCTTTCTAAATATCAACTTTCTTGTTTTAAGGAAGAACCTGTTATTATACCCTACACCACTATAGTGGAGAGGGTATTATGCGTTTGTGCTGATGTTTGTAACGCACAAAAATACCTACACCCACCTTAAAGTATATCGATCGACTCAGAATCACTTTCGATTAAGAAATGTCCGTCCATCCGTCTGGCTGGCTGTCCATGTATACCTTGGCTGGATACTGTTTACTTTTTTTTAAAATGACATTTATTTATATATTTTTGTAAAAAGCCGTTCTCAAAATTACAAAAAGCAACATGTTGATGGAGCATCGAGTAAGCGGCTGGAGTGAGAAGCATAGAAAACAACAGAATGCCTGGGTTCAAATCCCGGCCAAGGAACTTTTTTATTTTTTGTTTTCTACATACAAAGTCGGCCCAAAATAACTAGATACCACATAACATATTTGTAGGTTTATTTGTAACTAGTTATTTCGCAAAGTTTTTGTAATCAAATTAGTAACCATTTATTAATTTGTTTAAGGTAGGTACATATTATTTGAACCTCGTCGAACAAAAATAATTAGTTATTCACCCCAAAAGTAATTAGTTTCCACGTGATTCCAATATTACTTTCTAGATTACTAGGTAATGAAAATTTTTGCTGGGTAAGGAATATCGCTTTCTTATCGATCTTATACTCAAAATGTTCTACGAATTTCAACGTGCTACGTTTTTGTGCAGTTCAGAAGTAATGATTTTAAAACGGAAGTCTAAGAGCCAAAAAAGGTTTAGAAGCTACGAATTGGAGGAATTAATCCATTAAGTTGTTGTCAAAACTTAACTCAAAAAAAAAAACTTGCAAAGTTATTGGAATCCACTGAATCTGTTAATCAAAATGTTTTCAAATAGCAAAATTTTAAAAAAGAATCTAAAAGGTGGTACACAATTGTGTAACTTAAGTTACTGAAGATGGGAGATGTATGAGTGTTTTTTGCGATGTAGACGAAATCGTATGTTGTGCCCGGTTTGCTAGTCGAATGTTCATGGTGACAAGGTGTTTTGAGCGACTAGAGCTCCTCAAATTGAACCAAATGATTGCAGGGATCCTGTACTAAACACAACTAATTCGTTTGAAGCGATCGGGAAATATCCGACTAAATATGAAGCCGTAGTATTACATCATTATAATATTTACTTTCATATTAGTTACTATTCGCATATAAATTTATAGTGTAATTACAATTTTTAATACACTTTTAAATAATTGCATAGTTGTAAAAACATTTTTAACTCAAATCTACCATAACAAATGAAGAATCTCTCCTCAAATTCTATAGTTATTGTTCTTTCCACTTGACTTTTCTATTGTTCTAAAGAATACGAAAACAAAAATTCAATTCGTAGAATCGACTAAATCCTCTTTAGCGCCAGCCATAAAATTTTATTTTTGTTGAATATAAAGAAACAAATTAAAACAATAGTAAAAGATACTCATACTAAATTATAGTGCATATATAATATTCGTGAGTATACTCGTATGTTATTTGCACATACGCGTAAACACAATTTGATTTAGTTGAAATTTTTGAAAAATAAAATACCTACAATTCGAAGGAATCTCAATTCCTTGCCTTCTTCTTATTCTTCTGCTGCTTTTCCTAAAGAAGAAAACAAAAAGGACAAGGCGCCTCTGAAGGACTTAAACAAAATAGAACAAAACAAGACAAAAAGAAAATGTGTATACAAAGTCATAAACTGTGAAATCGAGCATAAAACCTTAAAAAATACACAAATACATGTACACAAATGTAAACATCCTTTTTCGCAGCTTAAACACGTTATGAAAATACAAACACATATGTATATATAATTATGAACATGCATGTAAATATTAGTTTAATATTTTAGACTGTTTATGAAGGACAACACACTAAGAATCCTAAAATTATATTTCCTTTCGCTTTCGTTTTTGCCAATTTCTATTGCTTTGAAGTGAAGTAGTAGTATGAAGAGATATTTTCATATTTCCATCGACTAGATTTTGTGGTGACGTCCTATTCCGTATCCTGCTGTAACAGGTGTAAACAAGTTTTGCAACAGCCATGATCACCAAAAAAAACAATATAAGCGAGTTTGTACTTGAAGATTGTCGTCGGATTATCGACAATAACCAATGGATATGATACGTCTATACATTGCAATATTTTGTATCTTGTCTTGTACATCTTCTCTGCAGAATTAGTACTTTTAGTTTGTTAAGATTTTTGACTAGACTTGGGTAGAATTTGCTTGGCATTGTCGCAGGATGACGACAACGGCAAAGACAACGAAAAGCAAGACTTGTGTCTTTGAGGCGTTATAAGTAGAAAGAATGTTGTCGGTCATTCGTTTTACGCTTCGTCTCTTCTGATTATTGTCGTCAGTAGTACTTTTTGCCAGAATTCTGTTTTTCGAATTTCTCGACGACACAACATTGTGGCGACTATGGATTTCCTTTCGGAGGAGACTCTATTCTAAGAAGTTATGAGAATTTTACATCAGCTCTGTTGGTTGTAGTACCTTTTGATTTTAGATACCTAAACGATTATTGGAGAATATTGTATATAGTCTAAGGAAATTAAATACATAGGAATTAGTCTATAACTGAAAAATAAATTACACCGATAATTAAAGTTACTTTAAGATACTATATACATGTTAATTATTGATACCATTAAACTGAAAATTATAGAAAATTCTTATAGTTTTCAATACAAACTATTGAAAACATAAATATTACATTGGGTTTGAAAATACGTTAATGATTGAAATATGTATATCAATATAAATATTACATTAATAATATACGTTTTGTAATTATATATTATTAGGAACTGCTTGCAGTTACAAACTTTTTGTTCAAACGTTTCTTATTTAATTTAATGACGCTGACTAGATAATGATAAAATTTAGAATGAGAGTGTGTTAACAAATTCTACTAAATGAAACTGTATATTTACATATTTATATAAAATTTAAATTTTCCTGAAAAACATGATTTTTAGCCTTCTTATTGATTGTGTCGACAAGCCAACATCCATAATTGAAATTTTTATCCTGATGTTGATCTACTTGGTTTGATTTAGTCTAAACAATACATATCGATCTGAATATAAAGTCAAAGTACAATATTTGTTTGCAAAAAAATTTCACCATCTATAACTATATAGTAGTTGCTCTAAAAAGAAATTTTTAAAAATGTTAGTCCGTTCCACTTATAAGACTTTTCGATTACACTAACAATTGCAACTCAATCTTTAAAATCTTTAGAAAATAATATTTCTTTGTGTTTGGTATGATGTCTATCTACCTGATAATTACTACTACAAAATGCTCACGTTACGCTGACGGCTCGTCTTGACGGTGCCAATGAAGCCCGTCACCAAAAGGATTTATTGCACTGAGCGCGAGTGTTTAGGCAAATTTTGCAAGGAACGCGACAGGTACCAACGTTTAAAGTTCGTACTATATAAGCGACAGCATTTGAAGCAGAGATCATCAGTATCTATTTAGATCTTCAACTAAGAACAACTTGAAACGACAAAAATTTTTTTTGAAAATGTCTTCAGTAATGCATTACTATCCAATGCACCAATCATCATCCAAGGTGTCGGTATACCAAACACCAGTGGTTAATTACAACAATGTAAGTTTTTGATAAAATCCCAAATGAAATCCATTCTTTAATATTATTTTGTTTAATTTTTCTAGATGGTCTATCCACCAAATCAACAAATATACCCAACACCCATGGAACAAGCATATCATCAGCCTATTGCTCAAACTACGAATAACGATGTTGAAATGCAACGTAATTCGTCGGACGAAAGCATACCGCAAGCGGAACCAGTACGCACTAAATTGAAACGCTCCCGCACGGCCTTTACCAGTTCCCAACTTGTACAGCTGGAAAGTGAATTCAAACGGAATATGTATTTATATCGTACTCGTCGAATTGAAATTGCCCAGCGGTTATCACTTTGTGAGAGACAAGTTAAAATTTGGTTTCAAAATCGTCGCATGAAATATAAGAAAGATATACAAGGTCCGCAAGAAACCAAAACAGCTACCAAAGCCACCCAGCCTATGACAGAACAAAATGTTCATAAGGGCATTGTGCAGCGTTTGATGTCGTATTCTCAAGATCCCTCATTGCAATCGGCTGAGAAACGTACTCATAGCACTGCTTTTCCAAGCGCTGCTGCTACTACTTCAAATCACGCTAAAGTTCATCATGCTGAAGTTAATTTTCCCAAGGAAATGCCTGTTGCAAAAATAACTCCCAGTCCAAATCAATCATTTACACCAGATCTAAATGAAATATTAGATCATCTTTCGGAAAGTTCTCCAACAAGTAGTCAAAACACTTCTTCATCTTCCCTAAATACATCCAGCTATTCTTCATACAATTTGGACATGGTTTTACAATCGATTAAACAAGATTTAGAACAATCAGCTCAGGCTTGGTCAAGGGGTTCAGTTGGAAATGTAAACCATGCCAGCAACAATCAATTGAGCATCGCTAGCACGACTGGTAATGATTTGCCAACACATCAACCACACCAACGCACACAATGGACTCCAAATGTTCCCAGTGCTACGCCTACACCATCTATGAATTTGACTTGGGGTGAACCAGTTGCTAAATCTATGAAAGTAAATCGTGCTCATTTGAATCCCACTGGAATGTACTATAACTACAGTAACTAAAGAAATAGTTGCACAAGTTATTTTAGTTTTAGTGATAGATATAATTCTTATTATTTTAGTAACACGTCACTTTAATTGACGATAATTAATTTAAGTTATATTATTGCATGTGAATTAGCCTTTAAAGGCATTTTAGTAATTAAGTTACAATATTTTAAAATTAATATAATATTATTTTTTAGTAGTTTTAATTTAGAAAAATAATTATAAATTATAATAAGGTTTTCTGTACTATATACATATGAGTTCTTTATTTTTTAAAATTGAAAAAATATACTTACATATCGTCACTTAAAACTCAAACGGCCCTAACTAACATTTTTAAAATTTACCAGAAGAAGCAAAAAACTATTGAAATTGGGAAGTTTGTTTCTATCATCGCGATTAATTTGTAGTAAATAAACAAATTGTTTAATAGTGAAACCTATCAATTATTATGATAGTTGACAATGGCGTATATAAAAATGGACAAATTGGACTTTTTACCTTTAATATTTAAATGTTTTTGTAGATGGGGCCTTTTGTTTTTTGTCAATGAAATCGCTAATTTTGTTCGGAGGAGTCCAATTTTTTGTGTAGACATATGTTTTGATTAGAGCCGTTTGCGTTTCAGGTGACGATATTTAAAATAATAATTACAAGTTCGTAATTAGTTCCGCCCTTCAACAATAATACAAGATACAAGAGACAACAATATATTTGATATTAATTTCAAAAGCCAAGTATGTTTTACGAACGTTTGTGACCCCGAAAGATTTAAAGTTATTATAACAATAATCGGAAAGTGACATATTTATACTTTCATGATTGTCACTAAATGTTTAGTGATAACACTGGTCTGCACTGAAATCCTTCTTTATAAAATAGAACTTAAGATATTGCCACACTGCATCTATGACTGCTTTCGATTTCTTCCTATCACATCACAATTTCGAGTAATTCACTATTTTTATTAGCCCTTATGGGACAGAACTTAAATCTCAAACATTTTTTGAAATAATATTTTTTTTAATAAACTTTTAATAGTATTGTACTTACATTTCGATAGTATAAGACTAAAAATTTTTAAGACCATAGGTAGCTCCATCTGACAGTTATAAGCGTTCAAAGTTCAAAAATTATGAAATTTTCATCTTTTTTTTATAACATGTGAATAATATAAACTTCACAATTATGAGATATTTGTTCAAAACTTGGATACACTTCTAGCGAAAATATATTTCATATTTAGTCCATGAATGATCGACAAAAAATAGTTATATGATGAGAAAAAAAAAAAACAAAATTCAACTTTTTTTAAATGTTTTCCAAGAAAATTTGTGGGTTTATAAATATCGAAAATTCAAAAATATGATTTAATAAGCCTCGTAAATACGCTTCGATGTATATGTATATCATCAAGGAAATCTTCACCAGAAGTACCCAAATTAGCAAGGAGTCTTAACAAAGAGGCCCTACAAAGGTAAGGCCACAAATACGGGCATCTTTGGAGGATGAAGTATTTCGAATAATGCACAATGAAGTAGAAGACGAGCACGTGTCACATTTGTATATGTTTGTCATTTTTTAGGGGAAACAAAGAGCTGGAAACTCTTTGAAAAACATTAACGATTATGAAAATGAAGTAATCTTAAATCTTGGCGAATAGATATTAGGTTTATCAATTATTCTTTTTCGAAAAAAATATAAATGAGAATGTAAGATATTAATTATGAATTATTCAAATCTGTAAGTTTATAATATCCGTAAGTCAAAAACGAATCATCTGATTCATCACGGAACGGAACGTAGAATCCAACTGAAGGTACATTTACCAGAAATTTGCTGTCACCGTCTTAGATATTTTAGTGTCCTTGTCGGGGCTTGTTGTAAAAGTTCTTCCAATCGGCTCCTTCTCAATTTTGAATATGACAGCTTTAAAGGTAAATAAATAAGTTCTTGGCAAGACTAGCCATGAAATTCTGGTCGATATCTATTACAAATAAAGTTCGCTCAGGTTCTTCTTTTCTGTGAAAGACCACCCATTTTTACACGGCCCGTTCTGCATTACAGCTTCTAAGAATTTCCAATATACGCTCATTAGCCAATTTACTGCCCCATCCTTTTATGTAGACAGTGGATTTTAAGAGCACCGGAAGATGCCTCTTGATTACCACTCCCAGCTTAGAGCCGTCCCAGAGAGTGGGGATACTTTACACCAAGTTCTTTAGGGTGCAAACACATTAGTGAGATGCCAACCTCATCAACATCACGCCCATGCTGAACTCGCAGCTCACGCTCTCTATTGGTTGTTTGCCCTTTAAAGCGATTGCGTGGTCCAATATCTTATTGTTGACTAGGTCTTTTATTTTATTCTATTGGTCTATTGGAATTTTGCCTGTCGGGTTACCGGCATCGTAAACTGCATAGTGGAGATCGTCCCGGTGTTTTCTTCTGGCAACTTTGGCGTAAGATGGCGACTCTTTTCCTTTTCCACTGTCTAGCTTCTCCTTCCTCGTTTTTCGGAGCTTCTTTTGAGATACTCTTACCTTACCTCGTCTTCGGAATATCTGGCTTGGCGTTGTCACCCTTACTCGCAGGTTTCTGACTTGAGGTTCCTTTGAGTGAAGTATGGCTTGGCTTCAACTGTGTATTAGAAGACGGGGAGCTCTTTTTTCTTCTTAGGATTATTCTGAGTTGTCAACTCCTCGGGGACCTGATACTCTTTGCCTCAGATCTTGTGAGAGAGTCCGATTTTTCCTTTGGAGTGGAGTATGGGATTGACTAACTATGAATTCCTAAAGCATATTTTTCAATTTCCTCCACTGTGCTCCAGAAAGTCTTTTCTTAGTAAAATGTAGCTTAGCTATACTATCACTCGACTATTTCACCATTTGCTCTACTTCATCCTTTTTGGGATTTGCTATAATGGTGTCCTCACCTATATTTAAAGTCTGAGGTAGCTTAGAGCTCTCTCCGAGTACATACATCTCTTTTTGCCAATGGCATTTGACGCATTGTTCGCCGCGGTTGCCAGATACCCACCTGCGTAGTAGTCTTTGCTCATGATTGCAGGGTGACGACTACACGTGACTCACGAGTAGATCAACACTTGCCGCCGGTACTGGGTTATTTAGACCCTGCACCGTAACTTTTATGTTTTTATTTTTTTTATAAGAGATGTTTTTCGTATGAAAATAGTTACCAAAATGTTGGGACTTGAAAAATAGTTTATAATAACCGAGAATTCGTTATAACCGAGTTCATTATGAACGATTTTGACTGTATATTTAATGTAATTTGTTCGATTTATTAATTTATAGCTTTTTAACTCCAAATTGTAGTAAATTTGCAAATCAATCTCAAATTCAAGGAAATAAGAAAGTGTCAAAAAGTAAAAAATATTTTTTTATTAATTGTTTTTTAGGAATATGGATTCCTCAAACAAAAAAATATCTATCAAAACCTAGATTCGGATTTTAATTTAAATTATTTTCTTCGTATACAAAAAAGTTGATTTAATTTTTATTTTGTGAATATGTAGTGTATGTAGTGAATGATCTCTTTTGCATTTTATGAAAATGTCGCTTTCCGTTTTAAAGTTACAACGAAAATTCGAAATGAAAATATTAAAATTACGACTTCCCTAATAACGAAACAAATAAAAAGTATTGTCGGACGTGACGATAATTATAATAAATATCAGTATTTTTCATCGAGGCTTGGAAACCATCGATTAAATATAAAATTTTTCATTTCAAATTAAAGAAAGCTACAAGACTAGATTGAAAGAGAAATTGTTTGGTTTTTCCTTGGGTTTTCCAACAGAATTATGAATACTTATGACGCTTAGTTGTTACCTGGAATTTAGTAGCTGGCTTCATATTTTTTTTTTTGCAAATGAAACTACCTAGGTAGATTTATATGACCCCTATAATAAATATTCGCGTTTAACATGTTCTTTTAGTTGAAATTTAAAATAATCACACCCTATAAAATTAAATCCATTTTAAAGATCTCTTTTATAGTTAGAATTCTATATATTAAATCCTCGCATGCTATAACTCGATTGTATCTATGAGTTTTTCACCTGGATTTTCCCAGTTGTTCAATCGCTACAAAATTTATCCACATGAAATGTAAAGCACTAGTACGACTACTTAATTTGATCTCAATTCCTAAGGTATGTCTTATAAAATCCTTTGATTACTTAATTCGTATGTTACGCATATAATAGCTCTTCAGTGATGGAGCTTAATAAGAAACTTAAAAAATCTCTTTTAAAAGATTTCTTAATTCAGTATTTCTAGAATTGATGATAAATCATCTAGCATGTTCTTTGGAAATTTTAAATGTAAATTGTGTTCAAAAATGAGATCAATAATATTTACTGTACTTAAACAAATTTACCACTATTTTGATATAACGTCTAAATTTCATGCAGTTTTGAGACTGTCAAATTATAAAGTAGAAACAGTAAAATAGCTCCCAAACGAAATTACTCCCAGCGAGTAAAATGATATAAACGCCAATTTTATCAAAAATTAACTTGAAATGAAATAACTCCCAAAGTTTAAAATGAAATAATTCCCAATAATTGGCAGTTTTAAAAATTTAAGTCCCAAAAAATGCGAAATAGCTCCCAATGAAACAAATCCCAAAAAATATGCAATAATTCCCAATTCGAAGAATTTATTTGTGTAAAATAACTTCCAATGAAAAAATTCCCAACAGAAGTGAAATAACTCCCAACTCCATGGTGTGGGACACTCGGCCTTCGGCCGGGCGATCGGCTTCGCTAAATGAAGCCTTTTTTCATTATAAATGAACTATTTGTATGCTCATGGACATTTTTAAATATGTCATATGGAATTGTGACACATTTTAAAGTATCACAATGTTCATAATTATAATAACATAAAATACATGGTGTTCAAAGAAAGATTCAATTCATCGAAGCTGGTCGAAATACCCTAGAGTTTAAAACCCTTGTGCCCGGCCGAAGGCCTGCTGTCCAAGAC